TGGGCGTCCAAGGCCCTTGCATCCTTACCGCGTATCCTTACTGTCTGGGTTGACTATACCTTCCCCACTCCCCGCAGGCGTTTCCCCCCGCCCCACTAGTGCCGTGGGTGGAGCTCTCTATGGGGCCACGGAGCGTGTGAGAGGTGAGCCGAGATGGCCATGCGGAGGGCACAGGCAATGCGTCTACTGATTCAACAACAAAAAAAAACGTGGCCCAACTCCACAGAAAGGTTTCATAGGAACAAGAAGTCATGATAATGATAACTTCGTGGATGTCCAATATTGCCAAGATGTTCAACATTCTCTCATGTTTCAAAGGGGTCTGCAGAAACGAGGGCCGCTAGACGCTCGGAATTCCTGGAACGTATCCCGAGTCAGACGTACTGTGGAATCGTTCTCGCCCCCATGGCGAGGATGAGGAGGAGGAGCAGGAGCAGGAGAAGAAGGAGAGGTGGAGGAGGAGGAGGAGGAGGGCCAGTGTAAACCAAAGACGCATGACCGATGTTGCAATGAACCATCTCTCCAAGCTCCCTCTTCGCAGGTCCCTACTCGAAGGTAGTGTCATTGCGGGCAGTGTCTGATTGGAAGACAACCGTGTAAGAATCCCCAATCGTACCGAAACGCCATCTCTGGGACTTCAGCGCCGCGAATCAACGTGATTGTTGCGACTTGGCAATCCTAAGCCGTGCCAGAACGCGTGTCGTGGGACTTCAGCACCGTGAATTCACTGTTGCGTCATGGCTATCCTGAATCGTGCCAGAACACCGTTCCTGGGACTTCAAAAATACGAGTCACTGCTGCAAACGTCAAAGCGAAAGTTCGCGGCGCAAAAACGAGACCACCGTTTGAGGAGGAACCGCCGTCCATGACAGTGTTGAACATTGTTCAGACTGAGGCACGCAGCGCTACGGCGAGAGCCGCATATCGAGAACCGCCCGCCCTTTAGACACGAAGCTGCTGGCAACTGTTAAGATTCATGTGCGCGACGTGGAGGCGAGAGCCACATTCTGAAAACCGCCCGCACGCCATCCGTGAAATTGCTACAAACGTTTAAAACAGATGAAATGCGCGCGGCGCTAAGGCGACGAAAACGGCTCAACTTTCCATCATATAAGTGGTGGGGCATCTCGGAAGAAGCGCCCGCCCTGCCCCACCGACACGTCTCGGGGAGCGACAGGGAAGCGTTGCCCATGATGAGTAGGGACGGGCAGAGGAGAAGGAGGAGGAGAAGGAGGGGCATCGAGTCGGGCGGTCGAGGGGCAGGACGGGGGGCCGAGGCTCCCCGGCGGAGGGGACGGGGGAGGGGAGGGGGGGAAGGAGCAGGGGAAACGGGCGGGAGGAGCAGCGCGCGGCGACGGAACGCGGTGCCACGCCCTTCGCTCGCGCTCGGCGGCGGCTGAGCGCCCCCTGCCCGCGGGAGGCGGTGGCGGTGGCGGCCGGTTCTGTCGGCCCTCATTGGCGCAGCGGTGGCGATCGCCACCCTCACGGGCCCCGGCGAGAGCCGCTGCTCCAGGCGCTGGATCGGGCGAAGAGAACTAGGCACATGCACCGATCTTGACAACGCCCATCCTTGACCCAGGATCGATGCACATATATGGTCCCGGGCTCCGGGCCCACGGGCCCCCCCCCCAGATGGTATGGTCCCAGGATTCCTCGGGCCCGCCCCCCCCCAGATGGTATGGTCGACGACGACGACGACGACGACGACGACGACGACGACGACGACGACGACGACGACGACGACGACGACGACGGCGACGACGACGACGGCGACGACGACGACGACGGCTGCGGCGGCGACGACGGCGACGATGACGACGATGACGACGGCGACGACGACGACGACGACGACGACGACGACGACGAGGACGACGACGACGACGACGACGACGACGACGACCTCTGAACCACCACAGCACCACACCACATCCACAGGGGGGGGGAGGGGGGCACCGCAGCGCAGCACCACGCCACGCCCACCTCTGAACCACCACAGCACCACACCACATCCACAGGGGGGAGGGGGGCACCCAGCGCAGCACCACGCCACGCCCACAGGGGGGGGGCGGGGGGGACCATCGCGCGGGGGGGGGGGGGGGGGGCCAATGGCATCAGCATTGGGGGGAGGGGGGGGCCCACGCCCTGGACCACATATATCTTCCTGGCCAAGGTAAGAGGGCGTATGCACCGATCCTGGGCTCGGGTTGGGCCTGGCCAGAATCGGTGTAGGTGCATAGTTGTCTTTCCTCTGCTGGGCGTCCACGTGGAAGGGGGGGAGGGCGGCACACGAGAGGGCAGCGAGGGCTGCAGAGAAGGGCCCGACGGGGCGCCTGCAGAGCCCGAGAAGTGCACCGCTCCTTGCTCCGACCAGGACCGCGACCAAGAACGATGAATGACCACGAGTGGCGATGTCGCGCCTGCACGAGAGGCGCCCAAAAAAGTGAAACAATGGCCCCTCCCCTTCTTCTCTCTCTCTCTCTCTCTCTCCCGCTCCCTCCCTCTGCTTCTCCCGCGTGGCCTGAGAAAAGATGTCCGATCCGACGAAAGCCCCCCCCCCATGTATCGCCCCCCCCCCATGTAGCGTTAAGTCGGGCCCGTCCCTCTACAGGGGGAACATGCAAAGACAGTAAAAAATAGCCTGAGACGATTTTGTTTTACAATTGTTGACCATTGTGGGAGATGTTTTGGCGATGTGTTATGTTTCGTCCAAAAACCGCCTGTCGGAGGACATGCCCGACCTGAATTTGGCGACGCCCGAGCCGCCCTTAAGGGCCCCGGCGACGGCCTCTGCTCCAGGCGGGCGGGGCTTGCCTCCTTGGGACACTGAGGGAGCGGGGACAGTGAGGGATGGGGAGGAGGGAAGGAGGAAGCAAGTGGAAGAGGGAGAGAGGCGAGCGGAGGAGGAGGAGGAGGAGGAGGAGGAGGAGGAGGCGAGCGGAGGAGGAGGAGAGGAGGAGGAGGAGGGAGGGAGGAGGAGGGGGAGGGGGAGGAGGAGGGCGAGCGGAGGAGGAGGAGGAGGAGGAGGAGGAGGAGGAGGAGGAGGCCGGCGGCCGGCGGCCGGAGGCAGAGGAGGAGGGCGACGACGAGGAGGGACGAGAAGGATGAGCAGCAGAAGGAGGGAAGAGGAGAAGCAGCAGCAGCAGGAGGTTGGAGGAGAAGGAGTAAGGAGGGGGTGGAGGAACTGGATGGTTACGCTCTCAAGGAAGGCAACAATAGTGTTGTGTGTTGACCGCTGGCTTGGATTCAGGAGAGGCGGACGCCGAAGATAAGGAGGACAGTAAGAAAGAGAAGAAGAAAAAGGAGAAGGAGAAAAAGCCACAAGAGCCGCCAAAGAGCGTGATAGTCCAGAGGGCTGCGCACGCAGCCGCGAACGAAGCCAAAGAGGCCATGCCGTTGCGTTGTGTCTCAATTGATGTCAGCGAGGTCGCCCTTGCATGCAGCACTCGAGTCACTGGTGTGTGGCAAGACATCCGCACACGAAACCACATGAACGTGTGTACGGAGCAACTGTGCAGGGGTCGAAAGTTGTCCCATACAAGTTCCTTGCATCAATTCGGCAGGCAAGTCTCAGAGTCAGTGGCGTTGTTCCGGCGAGCGCTGAACGCACGAGCAGGAAGGGAAGATGGGTCGGTTGCGGGTTCACAGCACCATCCAACATTACAGTCAAGTCGGACGAACGGATATGATGTTTCTGCGCACGCCGGTTTGGATGACGACGTGAAGTTTCGGCAACACGATCCGATCGATGCGGCCGATCATGTCAAGGAGTTCTGTACATGTGTGGCTCAGGCTTGAACATGGCTTGATCGGTGTGACCTCGCACGTCTAGACCTGCGTGACACTGCGAGCAGCTCGATGTTGCAATGCTGCATTATCACGCGATGGTAGTCGATTTCAGCAGGCATGATGGTTGGCGGCTTGGTTTTAGCAGTTGGTTATGACGTATTGGATCGACTAATCCAGTACGAAACCAATTCGTGTAGCGGACCGTAGCGCGCTCGCCTGCAAAATATGGCTACACGTAGTTGTTGCCATCGTGGGCCCTAAAGATGAGTTATTGCACATGCGAAGTGTATGCCATGTGGTGTAGGGTGTAGGCGGCAACGTGGCGGGTCCTCGACACACCCGCCGAGGCGGCGACGGGGCGAATCCTCGACGTACACTCCGAGGCGGCAACGCGGCGACTACGGCCGGCAACGTGTCGAATTCGCGACATACCCTTCGAGGCGGCAACGGGCGGCAACGGGCGGTTGCGTGGCGAATCCTCGACACATTCCCCCGAGGCGGCAACGGGCGGCAACGTGGCGAATCCTCGACATACTTACCCCCCCGAGGCGGCAACGGGCGGCAACGCGGCGACTCCTCGACATACCCCCCCGAGGCAGCAACGGACGGCAACGCGGCGACTCCTCGACATCCCCTCCCGAGGCGGCAACGGGCGGCAACTTGGTGAATCCTCGACATACCCCTCGAGGCGGCAACGGGAGGCAAAGTGGCGAATCTTCGGCATAACCCTCGGAGGCGGTCGTGGCGAATCCTCGACGACATACCCGCCGAGGCGGGAACGGGCGGCCAGGCCACGTGGATGCAGCGTGGCGAATCCTCGACAGACCAACCGATCCGTTCGTGAGACAAGCAAGCCCCCCCCCAAGCGCAAGCATGGTTGGGGAATGTCCAGATCTCTCAGGAGTTCGATTGCTCCAGACTGCTGCGCATGCCATGGAGTGTGACTTCTGAGGAATCCGCGCCCGCGTGATGGAGACAGATTATGCGGCTGCCGCGCCGCCCTGCCCTCCCCGAGGCCGGGAAGTCGGCGGCAGAGATCACAAAGGCAGCCGCCGCGGCCGCGAAGGAGAACGGGGCAGACCCGGCAGACATCGCCAAGGCCGCGGCCGACGGCGCGAAGATCGCTCGCGGAGAGACCGTGCGAGTGATCGAGTACGCCCAGGACGCCGCCGAGGACGGCAGCTCTTCGAGCTCGGGCAGCTCCTCCTCCGACACGGAGGAGGTCGACGAGGCCGCGATCTCGCAGAAGGACAAGGACAAGGCCTGGGGGGGGGAGAGCTGCTGGGAGTGGGGCGCGAGCAGTGATGGGGGGGCGTTGAATGAGGGGGGAAGGAAGGTGGCCTTTTCTTCGGGCCCCCGTGGGCCCTCAAGGGCCTCTTTCGGGGCCCGAAAGGGCCCCTTTTCTGCAGCCCTCGCTGCCCCGCCCCCATCGATCGCCCCCCCCATTCATTCGCGTCCGAGGGAGAGTCGGGGGCGGCCAAGAGGGAGCTGCTTGCCAGGGTGGGGGGTACAGTCAACCCGCATTGTAAGGACGAACGACGTTCCAATGTTCTACTCTTGCATCCTTCCCCTGGGGCCCACCCCTGGCCGCTTTCGCTGGCCGCGCCCCGCTCGCAGAGTGTCGGCATGGTCCTCCATGGCCTTTTGCATCCTTGTCGTGTCCTCATCATACGGGTCGACTGTATCATGGCCGTGGCCACGATATCTCTCAGGTTTCGTGGCCCCCTCCTCCTCTTGCCGCACACTTGCTGGCCACCCCGTCGGCCGCGCGCGCGCCTCGGGCCGTGGCTTGCTCCCCCCCCTCTGGGACGCCCACCTCTCGGACACCCCCCGGGAGTCGGGTGCTGCCGAATGTGTCCCCGGCCCAGCAAGGGCGTTCACGGTTCCGTCGGCTCGGTTGCGTTCGGTCGGTTCGGCTCGGTCGGTTATTGTGTCGTCCATGCGCCCCGCCCTCCTCGTCCTGACCTCCTACCTCTTCCTCCTCCTCCTCCTCCTCCTCCTCCTCCTCGTCCTAGGTTGGGTTCGGCATGTCTTGATGTCGGTCGGGTGCGGTTTCGTCGTCGGTTCGGTGTGCGGTTTCGTTGTCGCCGTGCACGGCCTTGCCCGAGGTGTCCCCAGGATTTCCCACGCAGAGGCCCCACGGCCTCCAGAGAGTGCACCCAATCGCGAGGCCCAGAGGACCACCAGAGTGGCGCGGGAAGCTGGGGGCGTCCGAGGCCAGGACCACCTGAGCGACGAAAGAAAACGGGGTCGTCTTCGCCGACATTGGCGCGCGAGCTGCCTGCGTGAGGTCGCGCGTGAGCGCCATCGCTTCCAGCGTACTCCTGGATCGCTTGATGATCGCCCCCCCCCCCTTGGAGTGCCCAGGGGGGTTGGCCGCGGCGCGTCCGCGGGGGTGCCAGGGGGGGGTCTGAGGTTCGTTCCCTTCCCCGTTGGGGCCTCGGGGGTGGTGCCGGGGACGGGGGGTTGGCCGCGCCGCGTTTTCACGTTTGTCACCCCCTGGTTGATCAATAAGAAGTTCGGAGTAGCGTGCCGCGCTGGCGGCCCGCTTAAGCTACCGCGTAAGGTCGCTGTGCCATCTCGCGTAGGACCCGTTTTTTGGTCGTCGCCCGCCTGGCAGCACCCCCCAGGAGAGCCCAGACGTCCGACGACACGATTTTTCTCCACCGTGAGGCCTCAGAATCCCCGACCTTTCTCCTGAGGGTAGTAGTTTCTCAGGAGGGGAAGAAACACGCAAGCACAGTGAATCGTGGAGCCCCAGGAAAGGATGGGAAAACATGGGCAGTTGGGGGGGAAGACGAGACTTGAGCAAACCTAGAAAACGCGGGGGAATCCTGGGGTTCGTGCGTGTTTGCATTTGTTTGCGTGCCCCGGGGCCCCTTGTGGTTTTTGCGCTCCAGCTCCGTTGCGGGTGGCCCCGAGGCCCGAGAGCGGGCCTCGGAGGCCGGTATCGAGGCAGCACGCCGGGATTGAAAGATCGCTCTCGCATGGGATCCGGGAGGGAGGCGCGGCTCCCTGCCCGTCTCGCCCTCTCGCCTTCTGCTGCTCCCCTCGCAGTTGAGGACCACATTCCAAACATAGTCTCGAGCACCCAGGAAATGATCGGAGCAGTGTCGAACGAGCATCGCCCCCCAGGGCCCAACACGTGAAAACCCTCCAGTTTCGGTCCTTCCTTGGTGCTCGAAATTCTTGTTGGTGGTCAAGGCTACGGTAGGTTTGCGTCGTGTCGACCGGCGGCGACCCCAGCGCGGGCGTTCAAGGTTGAACGCCGCCGGCGGCCCAGAATCGGTCGATGTTGAACGATCGGACGTTGCGGCAGCGGCCAATCGTTCAAGGTTGAACGATCCCTGCGGTGTCAAAAACCAACGCTGGGGTCGGCACGACACGAACCTGCCGTATCCCCCAACGGGCGACACAGCGGATCTGACCCCCCCGGGAAGACACCATTGTGATGTGCATGATCAGGAAAGGGGAGCTGTGCACATAGGAGGAATAGGTGGTGGATGAGCCAGAGGATGAGCAGGAGACGAGGAGGAAGAGGAGGAAGAGGAGGAGGAGGAGGAGGAAGAGGAGGAGGAGGAGGAGGAGGAGGAAGAGGAGGAGGAGACGGACCTGCCGTAAAGTAGGCTGGAACATCACAGCCCTTGCCATCAGCATCCAGGCACGGCAGCTTCGCGTCGTGCCCACCGGCGGCGGCCCCGCCGCGGGCGTCCC